CTGAAGCAGCGATTTTCAGCCCTTTTTGTCTCCTGGCACACATAAACTAATTACCAAAATTCTGCAGCACGCCAAAAAGTATGGTGTATTTTTTGCTGCTCTGACAAAAAATAGGTATATTTTGATTCATTTACACCAGATGGCTATTGTGTTGGCTGTTGTCATTTTCTTATTTGACAGTCTAAGGGAAAAGAAGTCAGAGCCTCTGACTAAATAGTCAGGTATTGCAAGTGTTAGCTGGTGACAGTTACTAAGGAGAAAACTACTCTGGGAAGGGATATAGGAAGCATGGAGGGAGGGATAAAGTTTGAGAAAAGATGACCAGGGATGGCCTCATCTAAGAAGGTGACCTTTGAGTCAAGATCAGAAGAAGAAGAGCATTTCTTTTTTATTTTTTGAATTCATTGATTTTTAGAGAGGAAGAAACATCAATTTGCTGTTCCACTTGTTTATGCATTCATTGGTTGATTCTTGTATGTGCCCTGACCTGTGATGGAACCCACTACCTTGGTATATCAGGATGACACTCTGACCAACTGAGCCACCCAGCCAGGACCAAAGGGAGAGCACTTGGGGCTGAAGGATGTCAAGTGTCAAAGCCCTGAGGCAGGAGAATGCTAGCAACCAATGTGGAGTAAGGGGGAGGGTGATGGAGATAAGGTCACAGAGAAAAATAGGCCATTTGCTGCAGGGTCTCTTAGGTCATTATAAGGGCTTTGGCTTTTCCCTTGGGTCAGATAAGAAAAATTTGTATGTTTTTAAGAAATATATATTTGTATTGATTTGAGAAGGAGAGGAAGGAAGAGAGAGAAACATGGATGTAAGAGAGAAACATTGATTGGTTGACTCCTATATGTACCCCAACTAGGGACTGAACATGCAACCCAGGTATGTGCCCTGACTCTTCAAATCCATGACCCTTTGGTGTACAGGACACTCCAACAGACTGAGCCATACTGGCCAGGGTGACTTTGTATGGTTTTAAACAAGGGAACAACATCATTTGGTTTACTTAAAAACACACACACACACACACTTTATTTTTTTTATAGCAGTTCTAGGATCACAGCAAAATTGAGGGGAAGGTCCAGAGATTTCCTGTATACCTTCTGCCCACACACATGCATAGCCAGCCTCCCGAATTATCAACATCCAGCACCAGAGTGGGACACTTGTGACAACTGCTGAACCTACACTGACACATCATCACCACCCAAAATCCATATTTACTTTAGGGTTCACTCTTGCTATTGTGCATTCTATGGGGTTTGATGAATGTCAAAGTTGAGAGAAATTTCTCTCTACTCCTAATTTTCTGCATCTTTATCACAATTGGGTATTGGATTTTGTCAAGTGCTCTTACTGGTTTACTTTTTTTAAATGTTGATTTCCCCCCCTCATAAATCAATAAATCAGCTCTTTGGCAGGTACTAGTGTATCACAGCGTCTGGGGACTTGATTAATGTGAACCTTCTTGAAAGAACCTCACACCCTATCCTCTGGGTGCCATGAAATCAGGTTTGTGTGAATTGTCTAGAGGAGGTGCCCCTCAGGAAGGTTTACAGAGGACCGCATGACTGCCAGCTTTTCCTGGTGTCCAAATCCCCAGCCCAACCCCTGGTCAACCAGTGCTGAGGGCTAACCCCACTGCCTCAGGGCTTTACATCTAGTTCCCCTGATCTCTGCTGCTCCTGCTCCGAGGCCACACACACAGTAAGTTCTTGCTGCCCTGGTTTGCTTCTTCCTTCTTTTGAGGAAGGCCACACCCTCCATGTACTTCCTTCCCAAGAGGTCAGCATGTCAGCTGTGTAGTTAACCTGGGAGGGTGTCCAGGCCAGTGCACAAGAGGCAGAAGAGGTAGCTTTGGGTTCTCTGGCCAGGACACAACATTCACTTCCTCTTGAACTGGGTGAAGACATCGGATCAGCAATTCTCACCACAGTGGGGAGGAAAGGAAGTCTGTTTCCCTGTATTGGCAATTACACAATTAAAAGTAAACCCTCATGATTAGAGATGCAGGGTCTGCTTGAATGTTGGATCTTCACTATGACAGCTGCCTTGGAAATATGATTATTAGAAAGAGGATGTCTATGTAATAAACCAAAGAAAACCAACTCTTCATAATACATCAAGACCTTTTAAAAAAAAAATATATATATATATATATATATTATTTGTTTATTTTTAGAGACAGGGGAAAAGAGAGAAACATCGATTTTTTGCCTCTTGCATGCCCCCAACTGGGGACCTGGCCCATAACCCAGGCATGTGCCCTGACCAGGAATCAAACCAGTTTTGGTTCGCAGGCTGGTGCCTAACCCACTGAGCCACACCACCCATCATCATCGTCAAGAACTTTTATGTGGTGATTTGCTGGGGGTGTGGAGTATAAGGGGACTAAATGGTAATGGAAAATAATGCAATAAAGATTTTTAAAAAATTAAGATCTTTTCATCACACTACAAATATTTCCAAGTCAGTGAATTTTTCTTACTCTGCCACCAGCAGCTGCCAAAGCATTGCCACCTGCCTTTCTATGGACAACACAAGGTCCAGGGAGGTGAGGTAGGTGAGAGAAGGCTGAAGATCCCACAGCAAGGATGTGGCATGATACGGAACTGAACTCACTTTCATGAGAATGGCACAGTGTAGACAAGATCTGGCCTGTTTGCCGTGGCTTCCACCACTTGACCTGACAGTGGACTAGCAGGTGCTTCCCAAACTTTTTCATCTCAGAAATCTTCCTCAGTTTTCAAATGTTTTGAAGATCTCCAAAAAACTTTGGTTTTGTGTGGGTTAAAACATAAAAACACTTAAAATATTTATTTAAAAAGGGCCATACACATTAATATTAACATAAATTACATATTAGGTGTAATTATGTAAATATAATGATACTTTTAAAACAAAAGAATTTAGTGGGTGTTGTTTTGCGTTTCTGCAAATCTCCTTTGTATCTGGCTAAACAAAGACTGCTGGATTCTCATTATCTGTTTTTGCACTCAGTCTGTTTTGGCTGAAGCATATGAAGAAATTCTGGCCGAATATATTTGTAGTTGGAAAAGGGAAGAGTATTTTAATAGCTTTGTGCATATTTGACCCAGCACCAAAAGCTGACAAGTGTTTCTTAAAGGTGAGTTGCAGCACAGAATCTGAGACCACATCCATGAGCTTTTTATTCTCCTGCACCTGGATCAGATCTCTTACCTGAGTGCAAGGTCTTGTACATCACACATTGGTCATCTGGAAAATGTTGACACATTTCATCAAACCGTGTATTTTAAAAATCACATTTAAAAAAATCGTATTTATTTATAAGAGAGGGTAAGAGAGAGGGAAGAGAGGGAAATATCAATGTGTGGTTGCCTCTCATGTGCCCCTACTGGAGACTTGGCCCACAACCTAAGCATGTGTTCTGACTGGGAATAGAACTTGTGACCCTTTGGTTCGCAGGCCAGTGCTCAATCCACTGAGCCATACCAGCCAGGGATAAAAAATCACACTTGTTAGTCATATCTCATCAAAAATGTCTAAGTATTGGGAAGCTATCAAACTCACAGTGATGAATGTTTTCCAAAATCGTAATGTTTACTTGAAAATTCAAAGTTTATCCTTAGCAATAAATACTGTCAATGTTTTCTTCTTGGAGAAGCTCACTTCATTCTTTTTCAATAAAATGCCTGGAAACCCAGTGTGTTCTTTCATGATTTTCCCTTCAACAGTGGCAGGTTCTGCTCACAGCCCCGACTCCCACAGGAGCTCCCCCTGGGAACAGCCATGATACTCCAGTGTGCAGAAGTGTTTGAGGTGCACTTCCTTTTTTGTCCCACATAATAAAAAACATGTACTGCAGGTTGAATTTTTTTTTTTTTTTTAGTTTTTGAGAAAGGAATAGAGAAACAATGATTTGTTGTTTCACTTACTGCTTGCTTCTTGAACGTGCCCTGACCAAGGATTAAACCCGCAACCCTGGTGCATAAGGAAGATGTTCTAATGGAGCTACCCAGCAAGGGTTGCAGGTTGAAACTTAATGGAATAATTTTTAGTGTTTCATCAAGGCACTGTTATCAGAAACTGTTTTTTTTTTTCCTTTAGTGGCAAGCACATGGTGGTGAAGACTACAATGATTACCTGTACAGTTTGGTGCTGCTGTCCAGATTTCTGCTAAGGTGTCAAAAGTTTCACCCATCATTGCTTTTGCACTATCACTGCAAATTCACAGGGTGAAAAAGGCAGTGAATGTCTTAATGTTACTATGAAAGTATTTTGACTTCAGACCTGAAATGGTCTCAAGGACACTCAGGCACCTGCCAGTCATACCTCATGATAGCATGAGAGGCAAATTAAACCATTCCATTGTTAGGAATGGGTAGGGACCCCTTCGGCCCTTAAAGCATAGAAAGGCTTAGTTCTAATCCTGGGCAGGTGGAAGGCCATTAGCTGGGCCTGGCTCACTTGAAGCAGATTCCCACCCCTCCCTTTCCAGTGCCCAGCCTCCCTACCATCTCTTGAGCTATGAGCCCTGAGTCAAACCAAGGCCACTCCTAGGAAACACTCAAGTTTGCTGGAGCAAATAGGCCCAGAACTGACCCTCACTGATGCCCAATTGGATGATGTGAGGTGTATTGGGACTGTAATCAGGGAAGGTTTTGGGAGAAGAGGAGGAATTGAACCAGCCTTCAAAGACAGATGTCTTTAGGCAGATTGTGGGGGAGGACATTTTAAATTGTGGGCATTGTTTGAGCAGAGGCAGGGGCTCTGAGGTGTAGGATGGTAAGAACAGAGTGGTGAGAGGTGTGGCTTAGATGGTGTTCCAAGGTCTAGGGTGCTTATCTGTCAGGGCCTTAAATGCTAAATAAGAAATCTGGGCTTTATTCAGCAAACAACAGGGAGTTCGTTAATGGTATGTGATCCTATATTTAAGGCAAATGAAAAAAGTTAAGGTATTGATCTGAGTATTTAACTCTTAGGAATGTTGACAAGGTAGTCAGATGTCTGGTTATACTATTTATTAATTTAGTTACACATGCATGGTTAAAATAACATTATATACAATAATACAGTAATACAAAATATTGCTTTTTTTCCTCCATTGACATTTCAGGTAAAAATTTTATTCAAACTCTCTACATGCATCTTGGACATCAATGTCTTCCTCATTATCTAGAGCCACAGTTTCTTGAAGTGTATCTCCTTCACTTGCATCTAAGGTGTTTGAGATGCAGCACTTTAAAACACTTGGATGACAATGTCATTGGAAAGTTTGATCCAACTCTCGATGTCAGGACAGTCCACCACCCCAGCTCCCCATGTAGGTGCGTGTTTGCAATCCTTACAACGAACCACATACTTATTGCTTTTGAAATTGCTCTTTAAAAGGCTGGTTTACAAAACTCGACTCTGTAATAGGGATGGAATACCCCCTGGAATAATCGCTACATTTCTTTGCTCCCCTCTTTCCACTCATTCCAATAGGAGGAATCTATAACCCTGCAAAACTTGCATCACTGGAGGTCGCTGTGGGCTACATAGGAGAAACCAGAGGTAGAGCAGTTGCAGGAGACACTGAAGTCTGGCTATGGGAGTGTCTGAAGGGTAAAACGTGTTCTTGGGAACAGAAAGAGCCAAAGAGCTCTAGTGTGGGTTGTGGAGCCATTGTCATCATGGATAGTGACGTGTCCTGGAGTGAGAATGGAGTGACAAGACGTGGGAGTGGCACACGAAAGACTTGGAGAGAGATGGTGGGGGAGTCCTGGAGCTGAGCAGGTGGCAAAGGTGAGAAGACAGCCCCCCAGACAGCAGTGGAGCACAGGGAGGCAGGACCTAGAAGCAGCACTGTCCAGGGGTGGGTGGGCATGGACGATGCTGACACAAAGCCCTGGTCCTTTGGGGAGGAGTGGCCCGCACACAGCAGGGATTCCAGTATCTTGAGGGAAAAGATACACACAAAGGTCCTGGAGAAAGACTGGCATGATTGGATGTCTGTGGGTTCCAAAGGAGGAGTCCACCTAGACTTTGCACACCCTCTCCCTGACAGGTTCCTAGCTCACTCCCATGACACTCATGTTTTCTAGCCTGTAGGAAGAGCAGGCACTATGTTTGTCCTGGGCACTGCTACAACCTTAGCAAGGGCAGGCATAAAACAGACCTCAGCAAATAGCATGCTTTAGGGAGAAACAGGGAGGAAGGAGAACTGAAGAGAGGAAAGGAGGAATGAGGTACCAGAGGCCTATGGGGCTGGAGGAGGACGGCAGAAGAGATAGGTCAGGACTTCAGAGGGCAGCTGGCATCTAGGACCTGGGAGGCAAACGGAAAGGAAACAGACCAGATGGCATTTGTGCAAAAGGTTCCACTGAGACAGTGGGTGTGACCCAATAGCCCAAAGTTAGCCCAGAGGAGTGTGTCAGGGGCACTGTCTCCAGTGAAGGCACTGGGGGCAGGGGAGCTAAAGACTGCAGGGCTGAGCCCCATCAGTGGCCTCTTTCAAAGCCTTACTCCAGGGGAGAGACCTGCCTCTGTGGTCTCAGACCTGCCTGGTGACGGAGACCATTAGGGTGCTCTTGGCTTTGATAAATATCTGAATACTAATCTGAATACTAACAAAGAATTTATGTACTTGTTTGAGTGAACCATGAGTAACAGGTCTCAAATTACTCATGTGTAAAACATGGGCTTTTCCAATGAAAAGGAATAAAAATATATGCATTTCCACATTTACAGATTTTTAAGGCAGCGATTCTCAGTGTGGTCTCCAGAGCAGCAGTGGCATTGCTGGGGAGTCTGTTAAAAATGCAAACTCTCAGGCCAACTAACTCTTGCTAAAACTCAGGGGGTTAGGCTTAGCAATCCATGTTTTAATGAGTTCTCCAGGGGATCCTGGTGCATGTGAAAGTTTAAGTGCTGTTTTAAGGTAATGGAATGGGATGTGTTTAATTTTGTGTGTGTATGTACAATTCTATGCTATGTCATCTGTATACTGACTGCATTGTGTGTTTACCAATGAAAATCTCCTGTCACATTTTACTCCCTTTACCCTTTATATAGTTACTAAATTCATGGACTTTGGCCTTAAACAGGGTTTTATGAATTTGACACCAAAGGCAAGGGGGGGTGAAGGCAAAAAGAAATAAATGGAACTATACTAAACTAAAAACACTTCTGCACAGCAAAAGTAACTGTCAACAAAACAAAAAGGTAATTGACCAAATTTGAGAAGATGTTTGCAGACAGCCACAAGGGGTTAGTATCCAAAAAATTTAAGGAGCTCATATAACAGCAAACAAACAATCCAATTAAAAAATGGACAGAGGACCTGAACAGACACTTCTCTCAAGAAAATATACAAACGGCCAACGGATATATAAGAGATAACCAACTTTACTAGCTTTTAGGGAAATGCAAATTAAAACCACAATCAGATACTACCTGTTAGAATGGCTATTATCGACAAGACAATTAACAGGTGTCAGAGAGGTTTTGGAGAAAAAGAACTCATTCTCTACTGGTGGGAATGTAGATAGTTTTCCGCTATGGAAAAGAGTGTGGCAGTTCCTTAAAAAATTAAGTACAGAGTTACCATCCTTATGACCCAGCAACCCTTCTTCTGGGTATCTACCTGAAAAATCTGAAAACATTTACTTGCAAAGATATATGTCCCCTTATGTTCATTGCAGCATTATTCATGGTGGCCAAGAAGTGGTAATAACTGAAGTGTTCTTCAGTAGAGGATTGGATAAAGATGTGGTGCACACATACAATGGAATACTACTCAGCCACAAGAAAGGATGAAATACTGCCATTTGCAACATCATGGCTGGACCTTGAGAACATCATGCTAAGCAAAATAAGTCAGACAAAACGTCAAGAACCGTATGACTTCACGCACATGAGATATACAACTGAAAGCAACAAATGAAAAAACAAGACAAAGAAAATCTCATACACAATAGTACAGTGGTTACCAGAGGGGAAGGGGGATGTGTTTAAAGTCACAATCTCCTAAATTTGTTTTGACCCCTTGACATCCGCTATACCAGTCTTCCGTGGGACAAGAGCTGCAGGTCTGCAGGACGGTGGGTGGTGAGGAAGAGGGTGATCTCACTGCCGGCACTGGACTCCTGGATGTGGGCTCTGGAGAAATTCCTTTACAGATCAAATGAGGTGGGGCCTGACACATAACACATACTCAGCTCTGCTGGTTATCATTCTTCTCATTAAAGCAGAACTCAGAAGGAGCCAGGCACCTCAGGTAATGAGCTCAATGGCTGGCTAGGGTTTTTCCAAGGTCAGGATTTTGTACATGCAGAGAATTAACTTCATACTAGTCTTCTTTCTAGTTCCCAAGAAGTCCCATTTCCCAAAACTCTGCAGAGCCCCACAGGGCTGAGATTGCTCCTGTGGCATCCTCTAGGCCTTTCGCTATTCAGAGCAACTTACCCTATCCAGCCTCAGACATCGGAGTGCCCACCCCTATCGTCAACCAGGTGCTGGACACTTGAGTGCCTATTCTTGCAATGAGCACATGGAATGGCAAAGCAGTGGCCCTTCAGGGCCTCTGAAGGACTCGAGAAAAGGTAAGGTGAGAGGTCACAGGAGGACCCTCCCCCAAGGGTCTCCCTGTGGGCTTGGAAAAGCCTGGTGACTTCCAGCAGGACTTGGTTAAGGAAAGGGTGCTGTATCACAGGCTCAAGAAGTCATCTTGAGTCAAAAACACCAGCACACATTTTTTATAAAACTTCAGACTTCATCTCCTCCTCAGAATGGAAGCTCCAAGGGGCCCAGAGTTTCTTTTACCCCTTCCTGTGTCCCTGCACCAGTGTCTGGCACATAGTAGACATTAAAGTATTTCTGAGTGGGTGAACATTCGCTAAACCAGTTCTGTAATCGGAAGGAACACAGGCTGCTCTCTGCCAAACCTAAGGTTTGGGAGGAGCTGGCTGGGCTTCGCTGAGCCCACAAAGCTGTCTGGAGGCCCCAGGCACCCTTCAGCCAGAGCTGCTTCTATAAGGTTACAAAATGTGGGGATCTTACTGTGACAAAGGCAAAGGCCAGCTTGGAGTCACTGAGGGCTGAGCCTACAGGTAAAGTCAGGCACTTGCTTCTTGGCAAATCCCAGCTCCTTCAAGCTGAACTTAAGCTCACTTTCTAGCCACACCCCCTGCCCTCACCCCACGCAAACACTAGGTCCAGAGGGCCCAGCTGCACACCCTGTGCTCCCAAGTGCTACTCAGGGTACAATGAAGAAGCAGTCATGGGAGCCCCAGCAGTGGCTGGGGGGGTTGGATGCACTATTGCCCTGAGGCAGCAGGCTGGCCTATCCTATGTGAGTTCTGACACAGTGACTGTGCCAGAGCAGGAAGCTGGAAGGTAACAGACTGAGCAAATGTTGGCATAAAATTACTAAGTCAGAAATACTCACCACCTTGTGTGACAGACAAGCATATAGGCTTCTGCCTCTGAACACAAATGCCCTCTGGATCTTTGCCGACAACAGTCCCTCCAGTGCCTCCATGAAACCCACACTGCCACACTGCCTAGTCTGGGCCCATCACAGTACTGCCCAAGCGGAGCCTCCTGCAGGTCCACAGTGTTCTCTGTAACAGGCCTCAGAGAGGGCCTCCTAGGGTCTCCGCTGAGTTGTAGCTTTGGAAGGTTTTGCTGGGACTTACTTTCCTTCAACCAGTGGCCGGCCAGGTATCTTGCCCAGCACAAAGACATGCCCAGCACTTACAAACTTTCTAATAATTACTGCCCTCCATCATTTTAAGTTCACATCAGTTACTCATTAAGGGAAAGGCCTTCTCATTTCTGGGTCTATTAAAGGTGCCAGAAGTGGGACGGCATGTCCTTCGGGAGGGTGAGATGTGCGGGAAGGCCCTGGTACAGGTGGCCTGCATGCTAATGGGAACCCTTCTGCACGGGCTGGGGACCAGCCGGTCTCCTGGGCCTCAGTAGCTCCTCCATGTAAAGACAAGGAAGTGTCTTTTTATTATTTTCATTAGTTTAGAATTTCACCCTGAGCGAATACACAAAATAACCAAGGAACGTTTACTAAAGAAATGTTCTCCAGAATCCTGTGGCACATGGCAAACACAGTAAGCAGACCTAGTCATTAGTAACTGGAGCAGTCTGGTAGTATTTTAATCAAGGGCCTTTTGAGTGAAGGTAATATAAACTTACTTTAGATTTTCAAAAAGCCAAAATTAATTCTAGGGCTACCTAAGGGGTGCATGGCATCCTTAGCAAAGGTGGGAGACTCAGTTCACTCAGACTCAGCTTCTAGCACCAGCCGAGTCCTCACGCACCCAAGGCACTGCTCTGTTAAACCAACGACCTCTCTGCACTTCCACATCTAACCCTCTGCTTGTGCCCGCAGTGCTGGCTCCAGGTTCCAACTTCGTGAGATGGTGGCTGGGATCCCTCACTGTCCCCTGCAAAATTCTTAAGATGAAGAATTTTCTTGGGCCGGTTTGGATTATAGGAGTTTGACCCAGGTTCAATGAACAGGTATGTGGGAGAGCAAGGATGGGGTCAGTGTGAGTCAGGCAGGTACCCTGAGTGTCGTGAAAGAGAGGCCAGCCACTTAGGTGCTTAGCTACCAGTACTTAAACAGCCACATGTGTAATTTTCTACAATTCAGAGTGACCTCCCCTCCAAATTCCTATTTAATCAAAAGTTCCAGCACAATAAATTACTCACATTCCATAAGCATCTACTGAAAATTGCAGCCAAGTAGAGCTAAATGCTGCTTCCTGTTTTATTGCTCTTCTCTGGACTTGGCCCTCATTTGTGCTTTATTTTCATTAAATCTTATAGGAGTGATAGACATAGATAGAGTTACAAAAGGTATCATTTTCCCACTAACATTTTTTCTAACAACTTGTGTTGATTTCAATAACATAATACAGATGGACAGTTAACTAATTCCTTGAACCTAAAAACATCCCGTTAGGAATTCACACTTTGTGGGCACACTGCACAGAGCCTGGAACACGGGGTGATCCATGTGAGGTGAGTCCAATTCCAATGGAAAATAAGTACAATGATCTACTTTAGATCAAATATTAAATCTTGCTAATATTTCAGGACACATTCTGCTTCTGTGTCCCATAGCAGGAGGTGATGAAAAAACTCTCAAGCTTGCTGTTCTTCTTAGAAGGACCCTACAACTACTGATATCTCTAGCTCAGAAGCACAAAATGTATACAAAGAAATGACTAAATAATACCTTAACTGAAAGCACTAATTTCACAGAAATTGTTATTCCAAAGCATGCAGAGACAGCAAGGGTCACCTGAAACCACACTTTATATACCTCATAAAGCCTCATGTCTATATACCATATGCTCCAAACACAAGGCTGGATCTGGCAGTGGCTCATGTTCTGGGTTTTTTGTAAAGCAAATGGAAATGTTTGGAAGAATTAACACATTTTAATAGAAGAGCTATAAATGCCCTGAAAGCAGAAAAGTTGACACAATTTTAAATATAATTCATATATATATTTAAAATCAAACACAATTAAATAGAATATGATTTAAGTACATTAATACTTCAGCTTTAGAAGAATAACAGAGGTGGTACACAGTACCAAAAACTTATACACAGCCTTTTTGCTTCTTCTGTGGATGAAAAAGTGTGCCTCTCTACAGTCAAATATTGCAATGGAATAAATTCTCTGTTCATTCAAGACTTCTTCAAGGACAGAGGTGATTAATAATTATATATATATATATTTTTTTTTTTTTGCAAAGTCTGAGCAAAAGCAGTGACACCTAAGACAACATTTTTTCCCCTCCAACAGCCACCTGTGGTGTGGAAGTACTGGCCTCACCCGGCCTGTGGAGCATGTCTCCTGCAGGGCACCCTGCTGACTGAGGCGCAGTCCAGACCTGAAGCCGACTGAGCCGGAGTGCAATGGGCAGTCTCTCCCTCTTCTGAAGACAGACAGGAAAAAGGCCATAACTGCATACTTCCCAGATCAAAGCAAAGAAAGGGGAGGCAGTCAAAACTGACTGCTTTTCCTCCCCTCAACCCCTGCTTGCTCCCCTTCTTAAAAAATAGTCATACAATCTGGTAATAAACATTTTGTCCCAGGCCTCACAGGGGGGACAATGGAGTGATCACTATTATTTACTCCTTTCCACATGTATCCTGAAGGGAAAGTTAAGTAACCTGGAGCACAGAATTCCAGAGGAGCAAGTCCTAATACTCAAAATCAAGCTGATGCACCCTATGGTTACCAGGGGAAGACTGGCTTTAAGTACACGGCATCTCAGGAGCAGTTAAGATGTGAGAATTGTATACTGCCAGCAAAAGGAAGGACCATGTCACTGAGACCTGACCTGTGACATTATAAGCTTCTTCCAAATCAATGCCTCTGTGAAGGCAGCCCATACAATGATCCTCCGCCCCGATCCATGGAAGGAAAACATCTGCTGGCACCACACTGCCACTCAAAGCCGCCTGGCTCTCTGAGGGGCTCACTTCCATTTGTTTTAAGAGGCCAAAGCAAAGCCCCTTGGATACCTGCTTTACCGTGCTGTTAAGGATGGGTTACCACTATAGGATGTGCATCAAATACCAGTGCTATGCTTGTGTCCCTACTACAGTATGTGATCCCTGTCTGTTCCAGTGACTAAAACTCTCATAAGTGGGTTATTGCCATTGGAAAACTACCAATCTTCTCTAATGTAAACAATACCACTTTGTCTCTTTATGACTGTCACTTGTGATCATGATGTGCAGCAAATATGTCTACGTGTCACTCTGCTTATGGTGGAAGTCTAGGATTGTCTGCCATTCTTTCTTGGGAACAATAGTTGATAAATCAGAGAAAAGAAATATAGTGCTTTGTTTTCATTGGCTGTGTTAAGAATCCAACCAAAGGAAAAACATTCTCTTATTTTTCAAAAGCAGATTTCCTTTACCTCAGGTATTCAGTCATAGCTGAAAAAAAGAAAAGAGAAAAAAGGTTAAGATACATTTCTATACCAGTGATACACAATGTTACAGATTAAAGAAGGGAACTAACAGTTGAGTAACTGTTTACTATGTGTCAGCACTGACGACAATGTGTAAAGTAAAATGCTACCATTATCTTGATTTACAAATGTGTGAATGGAAGATTCAAGAGGTCAAGCAACTCACCCAAAGGTTATATAAGAAGGCCTGGCACCCAGTGATGCTTTTATCTCTCCATTTTTACCATATATATTAGAACAAAATATCCAGTTTTATTTTTTTAATCTTTACCCAAGGACGTATTTTTCTCATCACAGAGAGAAGAGAGAGAGAAAGAGAGAAATATCGGTTGACTGCTTCCCATACACACCCCGACCAGGGATCGAACCCACAACCTTTCAGTTTACAGGACATTGCTCCAACCAATTGAGCCACCCAACCAGGGCAAAATATCTGTTTTTTTAAAAAAATATTTTTATTTATTTATCTTTAGAGAGGAAGGGAAGGAGAGAAGGAGAGAAATATCAATGTATGGTTGCCTCTCATGAGTCCCCTGCTGGGAACTGGCCTGCAACCTAGGCATGTGCCCTGACTGGGAATCGAACTGTGATCATGTGGCTTGCAGGCCCACGCTCAATCCACTGAGCTACACCAGCCAGGGCAAAATATCTGTTTTTTGATAGAATATTGCTGCCGCTTGGAATTAATCCAACAGCACACTCATGACCATCCACAGGGAACTCACTAAATGAAGAAAGAACCATGATACAAAGGAGTCAAATGCCTTAGGAAGAAAAAAAGACCGAGCTTGTGGACAGTCCCTGTTTACTCACAGCACTGGGGAGGAAACGTCACAGAAGAGTTGGTCTTTCTCATTTGTGAGATGGGATATATACACATGGAATAATAGTTCGGTAATGCTGGCAGGCAGTTTACTTTAAATGCCAAGTACAGTCTATAGGCAAATGTGGAATAGGAGATTCAAAGCAGAGAGGTATAGAATAAAGAGGCCGATCATTCCTTTATGGATGTAGAACTTCTCACACTCATAAAATCATAGTATGAGAATTAGAAGGGAGTCTTATGAGATTTTCTTCTCCAATTTCTCTGATCTACTAATGAGAAAATAAGAGACTGGAGAAGGAAAATAACTTGTAAGGGGTCATACATATTGACTAAAAATGGACTAAATGAATTCTGCTAGCCTAGTGCTTTTTCCATACTAATAAATGACTGGGCCCTCAAGGACATGCCAAACAGACATCCATCCTGGCCAGCCAAAGAGAAGGCCCAGCAAGATTAAAAAACAAAATATTGCAAAATATATCTATCTATCCCAAAATGAAAAGCACATGATAATAAAATCTGAACATATACCTCAAACAAAAAGCCTAATTTTAAACATCTGCTTTCCAAATGGTTTCTAAAAATACACTTCATATTCTCAAACATTTGACCATCAACATGATAATGGGGAATCACAAAAATACCTTGCACTTCTTAAAACACCTTTATCTTGCTCTTTGCTATTTTAGGTTTGAGCCAATAAATCTAATATAGACAAAATTATCACCCTTACATAAAAAAGAAAACCAAGTCTGTGAAACTGAACAAGAGCTTTGGTAAGAATCAGTTTGGTGAAAAGATCAAAATTAAACCAAGCTCAATATGTCAACTATAATAGAAAAATATAAAAATTTAAAAAAAAAACAAACCAAGCTCTGGTAACAATAGGTCTGGCTAGAAAGTTAACAAGGAAAGGGTGATATTGGACCTAAATCTAAATTCAAGTCTTTGAAACTACTGAGGGTTATGTGGGGTGCTATTTGAACATATTTAACTCTGATTCCTAAGCTCTGGCTAATGTAAATGATTGAGGAGTTTAACGACTTCACAAAAAAAACGAACAAAAATTCTCCTACCACATTAAGTCTTTGTGAATCGATTCAAGTTAGAGAAAGTAAGCCTGTTGAAGGAACTGGGAATGTTTGGCTTGAAGAAAACTCTGGGAGGGGACTAAGTGGCTGCCTTTAATTTTCTAACCATTACTTGTGTGGCTCTTGTGGGTAAAACTAGAAGTAGAGGGTGAAGCTCTAGATAAACAGGGTATTAGCTTGTGGCAAGTTAGACATTCCTAACAACTGTAGCTATTGAACTCCAGGTAAGAGTGAAGATCTGATCACAGTCATTCTGTCGTACAATGGCATTATCAATAAACCCACAAATTCACATGAACGAAAAACCGGAGAAGAGGAACAAACCACAAAATTTCAAAAGCTGGAAGCAAATGGACAAATGGAAGTCACTTAGAAGATGCATGAAACCTCAATCCTAAGAGTGAAGTGGGAAAAGCTACAAAGTGCCCTGCTTGCCAATGCAGAGCCCCAGAGCCTGGGAACAAATGTGAGGATTTCTTAAAAGCCCATCTTTAGAAGTGAATGATCTACAGTGACCCTTCTGCAGCTCTGATCAGTGAGGTGACTGCACAGCTGGAAAACCATGCCAGGCAGAAGAATCTAAAATGCATCTCTAAGCAGTTTAAAAATATAGGGTCTTTGGGCTAAGATACATGAGGTGTGACCAAGGACAAGGGTTCTACTAAAATGAAAAGAAGAGGGGATTAAAGAGGGATCCATATAATGACTCCAAAGACTTCACTAGCTTTCTTTCCCTTTGGCTCCTAGAACACTGGTAGCTTGGTCTTTATCTGCCAGGCAAAATAAGGAGCAAGATATAAAAGAGACTGGTAAAGTTTTGTCTGGAGAATATGATCAGGCAAAAAAGAAAAAACTCAGTTTCCTAAGAAAACCTGGCTAGTTTGCTTCACTTTTCAAGAAACTGCCAATGGTGTAGCTGTAGCATTTTGCATTCCCACTGGTAATGAATTAGAGTTCAACTGCTTTACATCCTTGTAAACACATGGTACTGTCAGTCCTTTTAATTTTACTTATTCTATGTATGCAGCTGTGTATCACTGTGCCCTTAGTTAATGACTACTGATGTTGAGCTCTCTGCATACGAATATTTGTCATCTATGTTCTTTGTGTAATGTCTGTTCATATTTTCTGACCATTTAAAAACCATCCGATTATTGTTCTTAATGACTTTGAGCTCTTGATATATTCTAGACACAACTCCTTCATCAGAAAGATATTCTGCAGATATCTTCTCCCACTTCATAATTTGCCTTTTCATTTTATTCTGTGTCATTTGATGAGCAATTTTTATTTTTGATGAAATTCAGTTTATCAATTTTTTTTTTGTCTCATGCTTTGTGTGAACTAAGAAATCTTTGCCAGGACTTGCCAGCAAGATGGAGTAGGTAAATGCAGTACTTGCCTGCTTCAACAATCACAATAAAATGACAAGTAAACTACACAAAAACCATTTGGAATCACCAGAATTCTGGCTGAATGGAAGCCACACTACTAAGGAATTGAATAAGTCACACTGAGACTGGTAGAAGGGGTGGAGATGCAAAACTGGCTGGTCCCACATTGACATGTGGCAGGTAAATGCAGGGAGGAATTCTCTCAGTTGTTGAGGTCCCCCAGAGGAGCAGGGGATTTAAGCCTCACACCAGTCCACCCAGCCCAGGGTTCCAGAACCAGGAAGAGAAGTACCCATTATATCTGGCTGTAAAAACCAGCAGGAAATCAGGAGGAGGGAATCAGAGGGCTCTGGATTTCTCAGCAACTCGTCTTAAAAAATCCCACCTGCAGATGTAGTCCAATTCACTCCCTCTAAGCTCAAGTACTGGGGGAGCAGCATGAAAAGCACCAGGACATATGGGTAGGTACTGAATAGCAGTAGTGCAAGAACTGGGGGAACAGCTCTCTCATAGACAAAAGTGCTGGCAGAGGCCATTGTTCCTTTGATAAGTCCTCCCCCCACAGAGCCAGCAGATAGGTGCTATATCTCACAGTCTATCTACCTGGCTTACACTGTTCCCTCAGGCCTGGTTATTATCTGAGGCCCTGCCCCACTCAACTTAGGGGCCCACCCCAGCTGTCTCCAAAAGCCTTTTTAAAAAATATATTTTATTGATTATGCCATTACAATTGTCCCATTTCCCCCCTTCATTCCCCTCCACCCTGCACACCCTCTCCCCTCCCGCTGATGATGAACTCCTTGAATTTGATCTTATCTGAGAAGCACTTTATCTGCCTTTCCATTCTAAATGAAAGCTTTGCTGGATAGAGCAATCTTGGATGTAGGCCTTTGGATTTCATGACTTGGAATACTTCTTTCCAGCTCCTTCTTGCCTGCAAGGTCTTTTTTGAGAAATCAGCTGACAGTCTGATGGGTATTCCTTTGTAGGTAACTGTCCCCTTGTCTCTTGCTGCTTCTAGAATTCTCTCCTTCATTTTAATCTTGGCTAATGTAATGATGATGTGCCTTGGTGTGTTCCTTCTTGGGTCCAACTTCTTTGGGACTCTCTGAGCTTCCTGGATTTCCTGGAACTCTATTTCCTTTGCCAGATTGGGGAAATTCTCCTTTATTATTTGTTCAAATAAGGTTTCTACTCGTAACTGTTCCTCTTCCCCTTCTGGTACCCCTATAATTCGAATGTTGGAGCGTTTCAAGATGTCCTGGAGGTCCCTAAGCCTCTCCTCATTTTTCTGAATTCTTGCTTCTTCATTCTTTTCTGTTTGGTCATTTCTTTCTTCCTTCTGGTCCACTCCATTGATTTGAGTCCCAGATTTGTTTCCATCACTATTGGTTCCCTGTACATTTTGCTTCATTTCACTTGGTGTAGCCTTCATTTTTTCATTTAATTTGCGACTAAAATCAACCAGTTCAGTGAGCATCCTGATCACCAGTGTTTTGAACTGTGCATCTGATAGGTTGGCTATCTCTTTGTCACTGAGAAATACTGACTCTGGGGCTTTGAGCTGTTCTGCTTGAGCTGTAATGTTTTTGGTCTGTTTGTACCTGTTATGTATGAGGAACAAAAGCTTAGGTGTTCACTGGGGCTGGTCAGC